ATTGTTATTATTATTATTATTATTATTATTATTATTATTATTATTATTATTATTATTAAATACCCTTTGAAACTCTTAGGGGTATTTTGATCACTTTATTTTATTGAAAGTATTTTTTTATATATTTTTTATTAGTGAGTGTTTAATAGAGGAATGGATGTCAAAAATTTGGTGTGAAAATAGTTTATAGAAAAAAATTTAAAATAAAATAATGTAGAGACGTGATATTGTGATTGGGACAATTTTAACTCTCCATTAAAAAATGGACAATTAGATAAGAGAGAGGATAGAACGTCTATGTTGTAAGGAGAACATGGAAAGCTTTTCCAAATAAATAAAAGAGTGGTTCATGTAGCTTCAAGACTCGCGGAAAATGATTGGGTTCAACAAACATCTATAAAAAGGTAACCGATAAGAAATTAAATAGTGCACATGTCGTAGAAGGCGTGAATGCATGTGCCGTGCTTCACACAAGGCAAGAAGAAACGAAAGCAATGGACTTTGATATAAAAGATACCCATTAATAATAAATCGAACATGTGGAAGAACAAAAGAGGAAATGTTGTTTCATTCATCTTGAATTTGGGCAAATTTTGGGTAGGGCAGGGTGGTCCAACCTGGCCCAGTCAGCCCGGCTCTAAAAAACTAGGGCATGGGCCAAAAATTGTAGCTTTAGAGCTGGGCTTAGACTGAGCAACCACGGCCCGAGTTTGGGTCGGGCCGGACCTGGGGCAAGACCTGCTTGGTTCAGCCTAGCCTGACCCTTTTTTTCTCTTCTATTTTTTTTATTCTTCATGGCCTGACCCAGTCAGCCCGGCTCTAAAATACAAAGGCACGGGCCAAAAAGTGTAGCTTGAAAGCCAGGCTTGGACTAGGCAACCACAGCCCGAGATTGGGTCGGTCCGGGCCTGGTCAAGACCTGCTTGGTTCAGCCTAGCCTAACCCTTTTTTTCTCTTCTATTTTTTTTATTCTTTTTGGCCCGGCCCAGCCCAATCTTGAGCCAGGTCCTGCCATCCGGGCCTGGGCCGGTTCTAGGTAAGTTGTCACAATGGGGACTGGGGCCGGGCTAGGAGCAAAGCTAGCCGGCCCTAATTTTGGATGGGTCGAAAAAGCACAAATACACCATACACCAAATTGGAGCACTGGTGTGGCCAACTCAAACTCGCAATCTTAATTCCACCCTCTCTCTCTCTCTCTCTCTTGCGTGTTTGTAGTGTCCCCCTCCCCTCTCCCTCTCTCGCTGACTGTGCTCCATACCCCCTTTCTTTCTCTGCTGTCTGCCCTATTATTCATGAGCAGGGATTTTAACCGCAATTATCTTTGATGCAATTAATTATATTTACTCAATTTTGATGATAGCACAGTAAAATGAAGTTACCTTGATATTTTTGTTGCGCAAAGATATTATACTTTTTCGAGAGTAGAATGTCTATTTACTCTCTTGGATGAGCACCACGTAGAATTATATTTAGGACCCCAAATTTGGGGATATAACCTCTTCAACGATCGATTAACCTTAATAAAAAAATGAATTCTTTTATGCACTTAAAAAAATAATGTCTCAAGATTGAATATAAAATATCAAATATTTAGATGATAAGGTAAATGTATTAGAAAGCTTAAATTTCTAGTTTTTTAGATAATCATATAATAATTCTCAAGTGCTTCACAAAATTTCAGATTAAAAAGACTCTCCCAAGTAAGTCTTCTGACCACGAAAGTAGAAGTAAACTATGCTCTGGATTGAGCATAGTACACGTGCTATTGCTCTTATTTTAGTGCCTCCCATTATTATGGAGATGATTACCATTTCCAATATAACATGAAATCTAAAATAAAAATTATCTATTTAAATTTTAAGAATGATGTTATTTATTAATTTAATATACTTAAACCCAAATAAATTACCCAAAAAATCTCAAAGATGAATACCAATCAGGAAATAACACAAATGTAATCTAAAAGAAAAAGGGTGTGGTTTCTATAAGGTTGCAACTTAAACAATCCAATTAAGGCGCACATCCAAATTTTATCATAACATATAGTTTTGATATAAAAAATTCTAAGGATTATCTCAAAATCTATTTTTATATCTAATTATAAAATTTAAAACTCCAAGATTGATAAACATCAAGTAGGTCTATAAGCATATGAAAATCTTTAAAATGGACGGTCTAGATAATATGCTGCAAAATGCACTATTTCTAGGACTCAAAATCTTTTTTTTTTTTTTTCTTTTCATATTCATACATCTCAATGATCAATTAGAAGGTTTTCCAACATTAAAAACCCTTTTTTTATGAGTTTTGAGGTTCTTGCAACCTTATATAAACTTTTTCATATTGGAAACAATGAAGTTATTTATTAATTTAATATATTTAAGCCCAAATAAATGACCTAAAAAAAAGAGGACATCCAAATGACCGGTGCAAAATAAGTTCTTAAAATAATATTTAATAAAAAAAATCCAGATTTGAATCTCTTTTTTCAGATTTAGGAATAGTAACAGATTCAATAAATCCTTGATTTACTAAAATAATTGTCTTATTTTATTATAATTGGCTTATGTTAACTTTAAATTTTTATTTTATTTTCTTGTACTAAAAAACCGTAGCTTGGATCATGAATCTGTAAAAATAAAAAAATAAAAAAAAATTACATGTAAAATCTATCCCTATTTTAGAGGGGGACCGCACATGTCCATATGAGTCGGCGGACTCAAAGAAACCTCTGATAAAACAACCCACTGAAAACCATAATTGGGGATGAGACGCCTCTGGCGCTCCACTTTGGAGGATTCCGCCAACAACAAACCCCAAACTAACTCTCACTTTTCTTTCACAAAATCATTAAAAAGATGCCAACACCATCAATTTCAGGAACTTCAAAACCTCGCCATTATTTTCTCCCCCTAAAGTCCGGATTTCAAATTTCATGATTAGTATTTTCTCAAGGACGTTTCAGATTTCCCCACTATACCGAACGCTCAATATCGGCCGTTGATCGTTCCACAGGTAAGAACAAACAAAGGGATTTCTAAAAATAAAAGAAAAAACAAGAAAAGGTGAAACCCTTTTTAAAAAATTAACGGAGAAAGGGAAAATAATGAGAATCATATTAAAATAATAATAATTAGAGTAGAGACCAAGATATTCGCATCGGATTCCCACTGGATGCCGCGACGATAACGGTGACCGGTCACCCGCCGCAAGTGAGCCACCGGCTATATCCGGTCACGCCCACTCGAAGCCGGTCATCTCTCCATGTACACGTGTCGGGTTCTGGTTCGACAAGCGCGGGGCCTCATCTGCAACGGCTCGATCCCTGACGTTAGGAGTCCCACATAACGGAGCCCCAAACGGTTTCCGTTGGGGAGCGAGAGTGAGCATCAAAAAGGCCGAACCCATGAGCATGAAGAGAGAGAGAGATGAAGAGGACTGCATAACAGCGTAACAGGCCCACACCTCCACGGAATCCATCCTCAAACGCCGCTCTCAGCCAATCCCTGTAGAGAGAGAGTTTTAGAGAGAGAGAGAGAGAGAGATCCGAGGGGGTTTTGAATTGAGGAGGATAAAAAGTAAAAAGCCCACCCAATTTACGTTTTCTGGAGCAGGCCGCAATTCAGAGGGATAGAGTTTTAGAGAGAGAGAGTTTTAGAGAGAGGGAGAGCGATTTAGGGGGAGAGACGGATGGGTAAGTACATGAGGAAATGTAGAGGGGGATTGGGTGGGGTGGCGGTCATGGAGTTGGCTCAGGTGGCGAGTGGGGTTCGAACCAGGGCTCGCTCTCTTGCTCTGGCGAGGGCTTCGAGCTCCACCGGAGAATTACAGATCTCTTACTTAGAGCTTCGCAATAGGAAGCTGGTTAAGGTTTGGGAGAGAGAGAAACACCGAGAATTGGCTTCGAGGCCGCAAAAACTAGTAATTTCGAGTAGGGTGGAGGAGGCGGTCCCTTCGAGCCCGGATCAAAGGGTTTCGAACTCTTCAAGCGCTGGTTCCTCCAAGGTCGTCGCTGAAACAGGGCAGAATTTTCAGGTTTGGGTTTTGGTCTTCTCTCTTTAAGATTTTCACTGACCCCATAATCAGCTGAGCTATTTTATTTCCTCTCTTAGTCTCTCTCTGAAACCATTTCATTTTTTAGGTTTCCTATTCTTCAGTTTTCTCTGACCTGAAAAAGACTTGTGAATTATTTGCTCTGTCTCTAGGGTTTTAGGTTCTGTGATTCTTTCCCATCCGAATTATTTATTTCTGCTCCTTCCCTTTGTTTGTTTTCCCTCTGAATTCAATTATTGGGTCCCTCTTTGCAGGCTCAGATTTCTTTGGAAGAAAACAACACCATGGTTGAAAATAACAGAGAAAGGTCTGAAGATTTTTGTTTCTCTTTAATTCTCTCTTCTCTTTTCCTTGACCACCCTTCGATATTACTTAATTATTAATTTATTCCAACTTATTTTCTTCTTCTCATTTTATTGCTCCTTTTTTAGTTTTCTCTTCCTCCTGCGGAATTATTAGTTCATCTTTAGCTGGTTTTCTCTTTTTTATTTTTGAATTTTTTATCAGGAGAGAGACGACTCCTTGCAGTAACCCCTTGGCGGAATCAGACGCTCATGATTCAACGGAAATTCCTGCGGAGATTCAGATTACGAGGTGTTTCAGCGGCTGTAAACCATCGGAAATCTCCGGAAAATCACCACCGACGGCTGAGATCGAAGAGTTCTTCGCGATGGTCGAGAGGGAAGAGCAGAGGCGCTTTTCTGAGAAGTAAGAAAAGACATTTTTGCTCGGCTAAAAATCCGCAAAATTCGACATCTTCCAAATATTTCAAACACGGCCCGTCCACTCTCTAAAATGACCATTTAATTGCCTTTGTGACAAAATTGAAGTACCAGGGAACATGCATTCCGGTTTTATTTCAATTATTTGAGATCTGCTATCAAAATTTAAAAAAAATAAAAAAATTTGAGGTTTTGCTTAGATAGAATTTTTTTTGTGGTCGGAACAAGTATTAATTCAATTGAGTTGTATTTTGCGCTAATAGGGGCCGAATTGAATTTACCGGATGAGGGCAACTTTGATGTTTTTATTTAAATTTATTTCTTTTGTTTTGCAGGTATAATTATGATGTAGTGAAGGATGAGGCATTGTGTGGGCGATACGAGTGGGTGAGGTTAAAGCCGTGAGAATTTATTACTTCCAAGTCACAAATTCGGTCTTTTTTAACCTAATTTCTTTTTTTTGCCTTTTCTTTCTCTTTAGTGGTAGCTGTACAGGGATTAGAGTACCTTTTTAACTTTTTGTTAATGTAAAAGAATCGGGGAAAAAAGAAACCCTTTCTTTTTGTTCTCTGTAACATAAGAAGGAGATCCCTTTTGGGAAGGCAGTGGAAATAAAGTTCCCTTGTTTTTTTTTTAAGGTCTATCTATTTTTTACCTAACAATCTCTCATTTTTAGTGGTTTTTAAAATGGAAAACTCTTAAAAATGTTTATAGGCGATTTTGAATAGTATTTCACCCCATTATGAACTATGTTATAAGATTTATTGAACGGAACTGCAACGAACAATGCGTGATTTGTGACTGTCTTTGCATGTTTTTTTATCGGATATGCTATGCCTGTGATGGGTTACCACTACGGATATGTTAAGTCCATAATAGTCTTTAAACCACGCCATCCGAAAAAAAAAATCTGACGAGGATGTGCTTGTGCCTATCTATACGTGTTGTTTAGTGGTTTCCTTTTAGAATTATTTGACCGGGTGTTAAGTGTGAGAGAAACTCTTGATTAGGGGAGTTGCGGTGAAATTTGGGAATCTACATGAAATTTTGGTAGTGTAATTGGGAAACATTGATGTCTCTTTTACCTCGCTTTTGTCCAGAGTTTTGTGTGAGAATAGCCGCTTTTGGGGACTCGTGGGAATCTTACTTTGGCGGCACCCTTGTAATGATCAATGCCTCATTTGGTTACTATCCTCTTTTTTCATGTGTACTTATTATCTGTGTGCGGTTTGTACAGTCCCACCTTCAAATAGTGTTCAAATAGTGTTAAGAAATGTGATTTTAATATTGAATAGTATTCAAATAGTGTTGAGAAATGTGATTTTAATATTGAAAATTTTGGTGATAGTTTTAAAATATATTTTTTATTTTTAATTATAAAATTTAAAGTTTTAAAAATAGTATAGATCGAACAGATTTATAAAACTTTAAAAATAAAAAAATTGACGGTCCAAAGATGCATTATAAGATGCATGGTTTCTAAAACTTGAAATCTATTTTGTTCTCATGTCTATGTATCTTGATGTCAAGATGATCAATTTGGCGATATTTGAGCATCAAAACAACCTCTTTTAATGAAATTTTTGATGTGGACTCTAATTTTGATCATTTAGAGCCTCAACTCTATATAAACGTTTTCCTTATTATATAGATGCACTCATCTTTTTTGGTTGGGTGATTACACAACAAGCTTTTTATGCTTTCCCTACCGTATGAACTGTATATACTTCCTCCTGTCAAACCATTTATTATGAGTGGATCGTTGAGATGGCCCCAATCACAACACTTTCTCTTATTCATTTATTATGAGGGGATGGTTGAGATGGCCCCAATCACAATCTCTATACTATTTTAATTTTATTTTTTTTATACGAACTATTTTGACACCATATTTTGATTGTCCACTCCTCTCTTAAACTCGTACCTGTAAAAAAAATAAAAAAAAATTTTCCAATAAAATAAAATGACTAAAATCCCTTTGAAAGTTTCAAGGGCATTTTGGTTATTGTATATTACCAAAAATATTTTAAAATTTTTCTTTTTAGATATGCTCCATTGAGATGATGGCACATACCAAATTTTATATTCATATGATTTGTAATAAAACACTAAAAATAAAATACTCTGAGGTATCGGATATAGATCAAATGGTCAATGGATCACTAGATCTAAATTGGCCTATTGAATAAAAGAAATATATATCTGCTATGCAATAAAGAAAGTATAGAAACCTTTCCCTACACAAATTAAGCATTTCTTATTACAAACCATCTCTCAATCTTGCGTAAAAGGGGATTGAATGGACGAACGTATACTTCTAAGTTCAAATTTATTGCAAGAAGTACTCTTTCAAATTAAGTGTTAAATTTGTACGGGAACACCACTTTATTGAGAAGTTTACTTTTTATATTGTCTGGATTGTTATGTAGTTTTTGGTCAGAGCAATTTCTACGTAGCTTTCACATTCCAAAATAGAGGGGGAAATTGATGAGAAACTTTCTACGTAGGGTTTTCAAAGTTGAACTGGGATTATGGGATCATTCTAGGGGTTGCAGCTATATAT